AGGATGTACATGGCAACTACACGGATATGCGCATGTGTGGAGACTACCGTCCTATCAATCGGCAGACAAAGTCCGATAAGTATGCCATGCCTACACCTGAGGAGATCTTCGATGTGGTGGGACATGCGAGGATTTTTAGTACTTTGGATCTTCGGGCAGGATACCATCAGTTGCCAATTCGGGAGGAGGACAAAACCAAGACAGCGTTTTGGGGCGTCAACTCCCACGGCAAGGATTGTTTGTATCAGTGGCGATTCTTACCCTTTGGGTTGAAGAATGCACCTGCCGAGTTCCAGAGGGTTATGGACAGAATCCTGGCGGGGCTAGATTTTGTCAGATGTTACATTGATGATATCTTGGTGTTTAGTGACACTGTGGAGCAACACCAGATACACTTGCAGACTGTGTTTGAGCGATTGAGGGCTCATGGTTTGAGGTTACATCCTGGGAAGTGTAAGTTCTTCCAGGAGAAGGTTGAGTACTTGGGTCATGTGATATACCCAGGTGGTTTAGGAGTTCAGCAAGCAAAGGTGGAGGCTATTGCACGCATCCCTGGTCCCACGGATGTGAGTAGAGTTCGGGCATTTATGGGTTTAGCGAACTACTACCGGAGGTATGTGAAGGGGTTCAGTGCTATAGCCAAGCCTTTGAACCAGTTGCTGAAGTCAGATGAGGATTGGCAATGGGGAGATGAGCAGGAGAGAGCTTTTGTTGAGCTCAAGGCCAGGTTGGTGGCCGCTCCCATCTTGAGGAAACCTATCAGAGGTCGTCCATACCAATTGCACACTGATTGGAGTATGTTGGGACTTGGAGCGGTGTTGACGCAGCGTGATGATGAGGGCAAGGAGTTTGTGGTTGCGTACACTAGTCGTTCGAACAATGCAGCGGAGTCGCGGTATAGTTCGTACGAGGGAGAGTGCTTGGCAGCGGTGTGGGCTGTGGCGCACTTCAGGTGTTACTTGTTTGGTACGCAGTTCACCCTTGTTACTGATCATCAACCGCTCAAGTGGTTGATGGAGTCCGACAAGCTTACAGGGAAGCTTGCACGGTGGGCTCTCATCTTACAGGAGTACGACTTTCAGGTGGTGCATAGACCTGGAGTTGCGAACCTAGATGCCGATGGTTTGAGTCGAAACCCATGCACTAGCCAGGAGGATGACACTGGAGCTAGATGGCATGGTGAGGTTGATGAGGAGATGGTGCCTGGTTGGCATGCATCTGCCTTCATGTGTTGGTTACGTGGGAACTCCAGCAGAGAGGATCATCTGACATCTTACTCTAGTCAGAGAATAGATGGTCGATCTCTAGATCCTGAGGTTGAGGATGGTGGTGTGGATCAGCGTGATGTACACGATGATGCATTGGTGTTGGAGTTCCTACGGACCAGCATGGTGCCAGGCACAGTGGGTGCCAAGGAGCGAGATCGTGTTCTCCAACGGGCCAAGAGGTACCGATTGGAGGGATCACATGTTCTCCGAGTATGGGAGGACGGTAGGGTACGAGTAGTACCACATCCAGCCCAGAGAGCACGCATTGTGAGGCATGCTCATGAGGAGTTGGGACATTTTGGAGTGAAGCGTACATACAGCTTACTCCTTGGTCAGTATTGGTGGCGTGGTATGCATACTCAGGTACAGCAGTTGGTATCACGTTGCATGGTTTGTGATCGAGTAAGGGCATCATTCAATGCCCCGACACCAGTGTTACATCCATTACCCATCATGGAGTTGGGTTACCGTTGGAGTTTGAACTTTGCTGGACCACTACCTTTGACTGTACGACATCATCGGTATGTGTTGGTGATGGTGGAGCATTTCTCCAAGTGGATTGAGTTGGTGGCATTACCTGACAAGGCAAGTGAGGGAGTAGCGTATGCTTTTCTTGACAGAGTGCTTAGTCACTATGGTGCACCAGCTGAGGTGTTAACCGATCAGGGAACGGAGTTTCAGGTCTTGTGCGACAAGGCACTTATTGATAATCGGACCACGTCGCGAGATCATCCAGAGGCGGATGGTTTAGCTGAACGTGTTGTACAGACGGTGAAGAGGGCGTTGCACAAGTATGGCCTGCAGAAAGGTCATCTTGGGGACTGGGATATCCAGTTACCGTGGTTGGCCATGGGATATCGGTTCAGTCGGCAGGCATCCTTGGCTTCCTTCTCACCATATTTTCTATTGTACGGCCGAGATCCAGACTTGCCAACATCGATTCGTCGTGAGTCTAGCGAGGTGGTGAACCTTGATGACCCGAATATGTGGGTGAGAGTATGTTCTCAACGTGCAGAGCTCTTTCGGAGAGTTATGCCTGCAGCGTTTGAGAATCTTGCGATTGCTCAACATAGAGATACGTTGCGGTATGCAACCATTCGGGGAGGAGGTTATCGACCATCAATTCGTAGATTCCATGTGGGAGACTACGTCTATCTACAGCAGACTGCACCGACGACATTGGATGTGACGGCGGGACACACAATCTTGCGGGTGCGGGAGGTGTTACCTTCTGGAGTTCTCCTGTTGGAGGGTCGTGACGGCGTTGTTTGGAAGGATCATGTGCGCAATTGTGCGCCATGCCACCTCCCAAACGTAGATGGCACTATGGACCCAAGCTTAGCGATAGTACGTGCTGGCTTGAGGTGCATGCTGTGTGGGTCAGCTGGTCAGGCGGCCCGTATGTTGGTGTGTGATAGGTGTTCTAGGGGATGACACATGTTGTGCATGACTCCGCCTATCTATGTTATTCCGGCTGGACGATGGGTGTGTCCTCGATGTACTTCATAGGGGTAGATGACTTGATCTTCACATGCTATGAATTCCAGCTAGGCGACTAACGATGGGGCGACATAGCACCCGGCCTACTGGTTCGCGCACCCACGAAGGTGTATAGCATGTAGTTGTAGATAGGGCTACCTGGGAGTCAGAGGGACCTGACCGCCAGCTAGGGGGGCGAGTTGTGACATTTGAGTGTGTACTCTCTCGCACCTTATATGTGTGTATGTGTGTGCGTATGTGTATGTGAGTAGCATGTCAGCGATGTAGAGTGTATGGCGATATGTATTCGCACGACAACTGTCATGTAGTTACGAGTCGGCTCACACAATTTAGTCACTTACTATCTTTAGAGGTGAAGTTAGGGTTCGGTCACGAGGGGTATAGAGTCGGGGACGGCTCGAAGAACGTTAGTTCTTCGAGTCGAGCCTGGAAGCGTTGGGAGCGTAGAGTGACTTTCCCCTTTACGTCGACCTGGATTCTCCGAGTGTGGAGTGGGTTGGGCTTGACTCATGTTTGTGACGGTGACGGTTTGTTGCCAGTAGGGTAATTGACCGACGGGAATTCCAGTGGGGAATTTCCCATATATTTCACAGGCGAGATATTCGTTATCCTTGGAGTTTATGGGACGTGACGAAAGGACTTGCCAGAGTTGTAGCCCATGCAGTTGGAGAGGATTCTCACGTGGAGGTGGCTACGAAGGAGGGTACAGAGAACCCTTCTTTGCAGTGTGTAGCGTAGCAACCATTGACAGTGTCGCCTCGAGTTGTGACATTTGAGTGTGTACTCTCTCGCACCTTATATGTGTGTATGTGTGTGCGTATGTGTATGTGAGTAGCATGTCGGCAATGTAGAGTGTATGGCGATATGTATTCGCACGACAACACACAATGATTTTAAAGTTCAACATGAAAATATATGTAAAAATTTATTTTAGTGATTTATAAATTTGCATTATTATTGTGATCTATTTTAAATTGAATACTATTATAGATAAAGATTAACATTCAAAGTAATAAAAATTGAGTTCAAATCTATGTTTTGCATTTTACACATTGTGATTTAACACTAACATCTTAGGTTGAACATAACCTCTAGTATAAACATCAATTTCAATATTTTTTTGCTTAAAAGTAACAAAGACATTACAAATTTATGTTTAACAAAATTATCACAATATTTATATTATCAATAATAAAATATACAAGATTTATCTTTTAAATTGTGAAAATTTGAATATGTATCCTATCAATGTTTATATATTCTAAATTGGAACTATAAATTACTATTTCAAAAGCACACAATGCTCATTGATTTTAAGATTATTGAATGATATGAATAAATTAAATGATATTATAAATGTTCATAATTTATATGATTTCCAATTTTGAAGATGTTTGGATGTACAAACTATGAATTTTAATTTCTATAATTCCAAGTTAATAAGATAAAAACTTTATCTTATTAATATTAAATATTATCATCATACACTGTTTATCAACTTGTATGATTAAAATATTTGTTTACATTATGTCATGAAGAATAACATATCAAAATTACCTTGATAGAAAATCTACAAATTAAAAATCTCTGGATGACAAAAATCAATATGGTCAAACGATTCAGTAATTCATGAGATATAGAATATCAAAATTATTTAGATAAAAATGTCTAAAAAAGTTATTGATACAATTTCAAAATAACCAAGATGAACGGATCCACATATAAATGAGAGTATTTGATGTTATAACTTCGAAGATGTTTTCATTAAGTTTATGGAGAATCTTAACAGTGAATATTTTTAACAAAAATATCATGAACGTCCATTTAGAAAATAGATTTTAATTTTAAAAAATGGACACATTTTAATTTTTTCAAAGATTTTTTTATTTACTTGATAATAATATTGAAATTGTCAATATCAGTTAATATGATGTAAGAAATTGCTACAAACTTATACACTCTAAAGTTAGAAGTCTACTGGCTAAGATAATTTGAAAAAACATTAAAACTTTCAAGTTTGCTCATTGAACAAATTTTTTTGGTTGATATATTGTCGGATGAAACATGGACCAAAAGATAAGATAGTGGTTGTAATAATGGACGTTTCCAGACTAGAGACTAAAACCAGCGGGCAAATGGAATCACGTGTTTAGTATGCCGGCACGATGCTGTAGAAAGGTATAAGCTTTGCAGGTGCTGTCAGCAAGTCAATCTATTCCCAACACAATAAGTACGGAAGGATGACTCTCGAATGATTTATGAGCTCTTGGCTCGCAGACTAGAGCACTCTCAGAGCTTGCAAATTCCAGCTGAAGGGAAATTGGATCCCTGCAGTGTACCACTTGGACTCAGCAATTTTGATCCTTCGTGAGATAAAATGACAATGAAGTTGTATGGTGTAATGCGTTCTCCCTTCGTCCAGAGTGTGGTATTCACATGTTATGAAACCGATACGGAGTTTGAGCTGATACCTACTGAGAACGTCGTAGTCAGGACACCGGAGTTCAAGGCGAAATTGAACCCGTTTGGGACAATGCCTGCACTTGAAGACGGGGATTTCACGCTATTTGGTAATCATCGTTTGAACTCATCTCTTCTCTGCTTCCGGTCGGATTTCTGAGTTATCCACGATTCAGTTTCTGATTTCCTTTGCGATGCCCTTTACAAAGTGGGAATGATCGTGAATGATGAAAATGTCGAATTTAGTTCCCATTGATCAGTTTCGTTACAGCTTGCACAGTTTGTGAAGAGCAGGGGTGCACCATATGTTTGGAAACTAAATCTGGGCTTGGATATCATGCATGAGATAATGAAGATCTGCACTCCTGCTCTCTTTGACCAGACTAGGCAGAGTTGTGAAGATGCAGAATATCGTAGGAATTGCACAGGCGTCCATGGTCCGTGCTGCCCGCTTTCCAGTTCGGCCCGTGTTGAAATCCCAATGTACTACAGCTCATCGTTGTTTGAATATGATTTTCTGACTTTAGAAATGTCTGTCACCAGAATTTGAAATTCTGAACTCTGGTACTGTCTGTCACCAGAATGTGAAAATTTGAGATATGTTTTTGTCACTCACCACAATGTGAATTAACGAACTCTCGTACTGTTGTTCACCAGAATCGCGAGCTATATCAAGATACATAGCCTCCAAAGCCGATGCTCAGAGGGCAGGCAATTCTCTCCTGGGTTCGACAATCGAAGAGCAGGCCCTTGTTAATGTCTGGATTGACGTGGAGGCCCAGACCTTTTTCCCTCCTATGAAGGACGCCGCTATAGAGTGGACCTACAAATTGGTCCCTGATGCGGCTCTCGTGAAATCCAGTCTTGAAAAGCTTGGAAAGATTCTGGACATTTACGAAGATCAACTCACCAAGCACAAGTACATTGCCGGGGACTTCTTCTCGCTTGCAGATATTTTTAATGCCACTTTGGTATACTTTTACATGCGGTTCTCCAATCCAGAACAGCAAGGTGAATTCACGAACAGACCCCATGTTCATGCCTGGCTTCAAAGCATATATGCCAGACCCGCATGGCAGAAAATTATAGCAATACCAGAGACTACAGACTGGTCTTTTCTCAAGAAAACGTAGATTGGTCTAGGTGATGCTCATAGCAGCTGATAGTAAACTTCGGAAATTCCTTGTGAGGCTAAGCAATCACAGATTTTGGTTCCAAGCTGTACTTCGGGTGATCAAGGTTTCAGCAGTAGTACAGTAGGGATAGATCAGTGGAGCTTGGATGCTAAAATGTATGGAGCCGACGAAGTTTGGAGAAAAGTACAAGTTTTGTTTAAGTATTCGTCATCAGTACTCACCATGCTTCCACGATCCATGTGAATCCATGTCCAACACCCTGCCATGCGATTAGTAAAGCTTCCGTCTACTGGTAGGGTGAATGTTTTAGAGCATCTACGAGGATTGCACTTTCAGAAATCATTTACGTGATAAAGCTTGTCGCTGACGGCAAAATCGATTTTTTTGAAGCGGTTGTTTTGAGGGTTGAGGGTGATTATAGCATGAACGTCTGAACACAGTATGAACGTCATTTGGATTGTTTTTCGTAATAATATGGGCAGAAATGCCTCACAAAATGGAAGAAGAGAAAAAGGCCAACTCTGTGTTTTGGTGGCTGATTACAGGGCAGTACGGTCCACCCATATTTGTTTTCCCCAAACGGAAAAATCCGAGTGACTTTTCGCAAGGGCAGTGCAGAGGATGCACTGTGTGTATGAGACAATGGATATAAATTGAAACATGACCTAAGATATGATGCAACAAATATTCAGATGAGTAAACCCACAGTTCTTCAATACCTAAAGTTGGGTTCAAAGTTTCATCATAATTCCCCTAGCATTATCAATCATGTGTGCTTATTCTACTTTACATGAAAAACGTTAATGTCATGGCAAATTCATTCGGAATATGTTTCATATACATTTTCCAAACAAATCCTAGTTGGTGGATAGGTGTGTTTTCTCATGTCACACATTCATTTGATGTTTTCATGATCCATTGTGTTAAAAGAGGCACATCTACTATCAGTGTAGACGACGAAACTAAGATCGTTATAGAAATATTATAACATGAAGTCTTTTATCAAGCGATAAATGACATCAAGTATGAGTTAAAGATTTTGCGCGCAATAGAAACCATATGTGATTGGATCGACGTGCAAAGTGGCAGGAAAACTGTCAGCCAGCCTTCCTTTCGCTTCCAGAGCTCGTCTTTCGCTCTCGAGATATTTCGCAAGGGTTGCTGTCCCATCATGGTGCTACAGATAAGGAAAGCCATACATCGATTGAGCAGATCTCGCTTAGCTGTGGTCGACAACGTTCAACGTATGAAGAGAGGTGAAAAGTCAGGCATGTCAGACTGTTGACGGCCATCATCCCACGACAGTCCTCCATCGGCTATGAGTCATAGCCTATGGGTAACCGAACACAAGTCCTGATTGCCGGGAAAAAGTGCTCCACTGCCACGCAGCAATTGCTGACGGTTGAAGACCACTGAATAACTGGTCAAGACGTTGCTCGACTCGAGCGAAGCCGGATGCAGAGGATGGACTCTGTACTGGATGTCTGCCGGTGTCAAAAAAGATGTACATTTGTGCGGTTTATGTCATATACTCAGGAACCTCTTGGACATCGATCTCCTCGAACGGCACGGGTTCGTGATTTTTACCCTCGTTACGTCAGAGTTTACTCAAATTTCGATTAAAAGACTGATAATGATCAAGTCCAGTTTTTAACTCTTACCGTGGAATCTAGAATCGTGTTGTTTATTGTCTGTGTCTTCATCTCACTACGTTGAGTTCATGAGACTGGAAGATTGTATTATATTATAGAACTTTAGCTTTGCTAGACAAACCCATGGTATCTACCATGTTCTAACAAAGTACTTAATTGATTTCCTATGTACAATAAAAAAGTGGACCATTTATCTCACGCCTTGTAATATTTCAAGTCGAATCGTAGCGAACATCTTAAAAAATATCTCCTCTTTTACCCTCGGCTTCTCTGCATATTGAGAAATTGAATTTTACGCATGAGTCTCATACAATGAATACGTGTATTTTTCTCCATTAAAACTCTTAGATTTTTGGATTATCCCAAACCAGTTCGAAACATAATATCGCACAGTACAACTTCCCTGCATGTCCGGTGTCCAGCTTCCACAAATAGAAATTTAATCGAGAAACCCCCTCCCAAAGATTCACCATTCACTTCTCTTGGCTAACGTGTTTGCCCGACCGATGCCAAACAAAATATCTTCTATCCAAAGAAATAAAGCAGAGATACTTAGAAAAAAAAAACTCGCAGTTTGCTTCGAACGCCAATCGGTAGGCTGATAATATAAGCACATTCTCCTACAGAAGAAAAAGAGATCCACAAGAACATTTCGCCTCGTCTGGCGTTTTCTTGGCCCGGTCATTCCGGTGGAGCACGAGAGGCAAACGATCCGGGGGAAACCGGCAGAGAGGAAGAGGAGGCCGGAGCGACCGGCAGCTTTCTGCGTGACTGACTGGATCCATCATCGATGGCAAAGTCGAAGGGACGGGTTTAGGGTTTACTTTAGGTTTACTTTTTCGGACTTTGCCTTCGCTGGCCTTCGCTTCCCCCGCCTTGATGAAGACGGAAGGCGGCGGAAGCGAAGGCTACGCAACGAAGCTTGTTTGCTCGGGCCTTCGATCAGTCCGGCGGCGGCGAAACGAAGAGATTGGATTATCTGTCTACCTCTTGCCTTCGTGGTCGGGAGGAGCAGGACGAGGAGGAGGAGCAGCAGCAGGTGTGCAAGCCAGTCTCGATCGATCTGAAGGACCGTCGTCGACGGGGTAATCCTGGAAGGGGTAGCGCTGCGGGCCTGGTGGCGATAGAGGTGGTGTAGTGGTCGAGGACCTCGTAGATCCGCCGAGCAAGATCAGCGTCTTGGGTGAGTAATTTTGGGAGCAGCGTAGAGAGAAGGGGAGAGGTAGGAAGGCGGGCGGGCCTGTCAGGATACCTGGAAGCAGGACGATTGAGGTCAGTTGTTGAGATGGAGAGTTGGATCGTGCGGATCTTGATTGGAGGCAGAAGCTGGTGGACTATGGAGCACGCAGCGAACTCTTTTGCCGCTCCGGGGTCGTTGCACATGCATACTTCTGATACGCTTCGTTTGTCGACTTGAAGTTGTGATGGTGAAAGTTCGTTTGATACAGCAGTTTTTGTAATTAAAGCTCGCTGAAGTCGAATACAACTGAATAATACGAAGCGGCGAGAAATTAGGTGTGCCGATCACAGCATGGCGGAGCCGTCGTCATCAGTGGATTGGATTGTAATTTTATTTGCCTCCCAGCTCTAAATATCTGCTCTTGGTGCTGAATGTCAATGGTGGCCTCTCTCCTCTTCACACATTCAGTTAACGCTGAAGGTAAAAGCCGGGCTCCCTTTCTGTTCTCACATCCAGTTGATGCCGAAGGTAAAGTCCGACTCCCTCCTGATCTCATATTCAGTTGACAGCCATAAACAGCCATCGCAGTTTTGGAATGCATCCGGTGCGAATACACGGATAAAAATTGGGATAATTTGAAAACATGTCAATTTTTCAATACAATTGTTGTTGGCACCAATCTGTTGGTTGGAAGAAATATACTTAGTATATTATCAGCTAGCTGGTCTTGGTACTAAAATAGCGGAGGATGAAGCGAACAACTGTAATACGTCTCAAGGTTGGCGTGATGTCTTAAAGTTTTCATTGGAGAACCAAAGGGATTGCAATTAATGTGTGGTTATCTTGAAGAATCATACATTGTTTACAATGCTTTTAGTTCTCCACTGGATATTACAAAACATTACAATGAGAATTGCATGACCAAAACCTTTGAAACAAACTTAAGAGCATTAAAATCAAGTATTCACTGTTTTCAATACTCTTTATCTATAAGAAGTTTTCTGCTTTTTTGAGAAATCGATTATATCATAAAGAATTGAACTGCATGAAGAACTGCCAATCATATATCTCTTCTTGATCCTGCGGAACATGAAAAGCGAAAAAGTAAATGTCTGAAGATGTTTAGATAACAAAAATCGCAACTTAATTTTAAATTTATCACCTTATCATCATCATTGAATATAGAAAATCTCTTTACAAACTAAAATTCAAGTTTTTGTTGACTCTTCTCCATTCTTTCACAAGATATGTACATCTTCCTCTTCATAATGTAAATCGTTACGCTTGGTAGCATCAAGTAAAATTATACTTAGCAGAAAGACAACTTATTATGCGTTCTACCCAAATACATCAAAATTTACAGCAGTTTTAAAATTTCACCCGACGTGAACCAAGAATATATATATGAACGCAATTTTATTGTCTAATTAACAAAAAATTTTAGACGGTATACCGCCGGAATTTAAAACGAACGCTAGAAGTCATAATTGGGTTTGATTCTAACTTGAAACAATTTCATTAAAATCATTACCTCTTTCATTTGAACACATCAGAAATCATCAAAAATCTCAAGGTTGAAAACAATTGTTGTCGATGATTTTGAAAATAGCGGCCAGCCCAAGTAATAAACTCCAACCGAAATGTTTTAAAGATTTTCATAAGGAAATATTGTTGTTCAAACCTCCAAAGTTGCATTCTTTCTTCACCTTGCTGGTTTTAGGAAATTTTCCTACAAAATTCAAAAGAGTTGAAATTGTGGTTACTCATCTCTTGCATGACAAGTGACCGGATTTCAACCATTACATCAAACGGAGAGAATGTCCGATTATTGGACGCCATCGCCCTTTTTAAAAAATCAAAACAGTTTGAGAACAGAATGTTGCCAAATCTCATAGAGTTGCCTTTTTACTTTGCAATACGTTTGCAATATTGACTTATCTTTGCTTGTTGTGCAATTCATCGTTAACTGTAATGATATATACTCGAAGGAAAGCAACCGTAATACCCTGATCTTGAATTATGGCGTACGATTTATCTTGCTTCTAGTCACAGGTCAAAAACCAAAATAAATTTCAGGTTTAGGCCATGTCTAAATCAAACGAGGAAGCGATAATTGCAAAAATTGAATTCAGCTCGTTATTTTTGCTTTCCTATCAAAACTAACCCGTTCAGAAGCCAACGCAACAGACTGGGCTTAGCTTCTCTTTTGACACCTTTTGACAGAAATAGATAAAAATCTGTGATGCTTAGAGTAAATTTTGTTTTGAACTCCTATGATTATTTTTCAAGTATTGTTGTAGCATACTCAAATCAAACTCAGTTCTAGAGCAAATTTCTCCACTTTTCACGAGACAAAAATATCCAGTATATTAAAAATTCGTGTGATTTTTCGCAGGTTTACTAGAACATCACTTCTCAACCTCTTATAATAAAATTGTTCTACAAATCAATTTCTACATATCAACGAACCACATCTACATACACGCAAGAGTTGACGTCAAGATTCAACTCGTATGCGGTTGAGTCCCGGGAGAAAGATAGCACCTTATATAAAACACTATCTTGTAGACAAGACCATATCTTCACAACAAAAATTTCTCTAATCCTTGAAATTGATAGATGAAAGTGGTCATAAACTGTTGATTTTGGAGTTTCCACACCATATGTGTATAGTATTGTAATTGTTCTCTGACCAGCCATGTTAAAGTAATTAGTTATATATTGAGTTTATTCATAACATTTTCAACAAACTTTCAAATTTTATCAAATTTACATTTTTCTTTATTGGTGTGAAAAGGGCTCTTTAATGCTCAATACTACTGCTCAATAGTATGAGAAGCACCGTATGTTTGAAGTCAAACGACAGGGAATAGGATTCGCCGGGTGATCGTGCTACCTCCATATATTGTCTTTTTTAACCAAGGCGGCTTCTTCAAGGTACAAACTTAGTTTCTATATAAAGTACAACTAGTTTTCTTCATGAAGTATACTATATGGTTTTAGATTCAATCAATGAATTCTCTGAGTCTACCATCAGCTCTTCAATCCAGAAGATTCATAACATCACTTCAAGAGGAAGTTCACATGGTTCATAATTAGTTCTTGTGAAACGCTTGAATCGAGTGATTTTAAAATTTCATAGATGCCACGTTGTTAAATTTTCATGATGAAATTAAAGCATGATCGTCTTGAAAAATGGAGAGTGGAAAGATTAATACGTTGGAAAGCCTCATCAGCTGTTCAAGGTGGGGACGAAAGTGAAAAGGACGGTTGAAGCAAATCACAAGAGGAAAGATTGGTAGAAACTCTCTTGATAAAAAAATTTCCCCTCTAGTAGGTCTAACATACACCCCAGACATATAAAAAAGAGAAAGAAAAACTTATGAATAACTCCTGTAAGTTGATCTCATCGTGGCTCCATGTCATATAAAGTGAAGACAAAAAAAATTTATATCTGAACAACATCATGAGAAGTTGCAACTTTTGGTTCTCAATCATTTGAAGAAGTGTAATATATCATGTGAAGATAGAAAATAAATGAGGTGATCATTCATGAATCTATCAAATTCTAAAGGATTATATATTAGATGTCAACCTGCTTAATTTAATAAAAAATAATAACAGTTGTTATGTTTTCAAATTCCAATATTTTCACTTCTTTTTTGAAATTCAGACCAATTAGCCTTAAAAATATCCAACCGTGCGAAAAACTATTGAGTGCAACGCCGGTATTTTCTGTTCTTTGTATTGTTTCATGCTTCAAAGGGTGGAGTACAAACAAGTCATAATGAGTTCTTTCCTCTTAAAAATACCCCTTAAAAGTCTGGCTTTGACAGACTTGAGCTCCACTTCTAGTCACCGTACCTGGTACAATATACAAGGGCTGCAATTTGCTTATAAGTACTACACGCGGATCCCTGTAAACTAATAGGCCCCTTGCTCGAAGGTTTTCAGAATTCGATGTAGCAGACAAAGATATGGACGGCGATGTCGCTACTAAAGATAGCCTCTGCTGTACATGCCACTCACGTTTTGTCTGAATTCAAAGGTAAAGTACAAAGCGGGAATACGCCTTCATTTCGTACATGGATGATATCAAATGGGTAACATGGACCTTGGCTCCAATAATAGGGAATTGGGAGTACGGTATTCATAACTCTCCACCTGCTCACTGGGCCGTTGGCGGACCTTGTGTCCCTATATACCCAAATTGATGCGCTAAAGTACTTGGACATAGGGTCCCGATGCATAATACAATCTTCTGATTCTCCTAGACTCCTTTGTCTTTGCACGGTATACTAGTGCAATACGGTATCAGATCGGAGATCTGAAAGTTTTAAGTGCATAATGATGATGTGGACGGCTCCATCACTGGACGATAGGGACACCTACTGAGATATACAAAAGTTTTCTCGGGCAGCAAGATTATAAGACCTTCAAAGTGACCGAACTGGAATTGAGTTATTCAGTAAAAGGAAATCAGTGAGCTTGTATTCTCGTGGCTGTGGTCATCGTCCTCCGCTCCCACCAGGTCCGCCTCCTCCTATTCAGCCCCGTCCTGGACCTCAGGAATATGTACATGATCGGAGGGAGGCAGTAATTCGGGAATAAAAAAGCTTGTGGGATCTTAGAAGGAGGTCATCCTCAGCCATATTTAAGAGCAGCGGCTAATTAGCCTGAATTTCGAGGGCAGCAACAAGTGTTCATCATGTGGAGATGGGCTGAAGAGAAGTGTTACGTTGAGTTCGTTCTGTGTATAGCATGGCCTACCAGGAACAGGCTTCGGACCGAGAAGACATCTATGTCTTCTCGGTCCGAGGGATGCATTGTATGTATACTACGATGCGTTCTGTATCGTGGACATGCTGAGAGACTTTGAACTCATAGAGATGAAGTCGTATGCCAATAGTCAGAGACACATCGCCAAGTTCTGAGCGATGGTTAATGACATGATCGAAGCTGGATGTGAGGTTCCAGAGCCAGACTAAGTCACAATGCTGATGAGAAAGATGAGAAACTCACTGCAGGATCGCCTTGGGTGGCTGATCCAAAACGCTACAAGAGGTGTGGATTTGGGCTAACTTCAGCATTGGCATGTATAGGTCCCACACCAAATTTCAATAGCTCACTTTAACTTTCAACTTGACTACCTGCGAACCGTGGTCTGCCGAAACAGCGTAATCGAGGTCAGGACTTAGCCTATTGCTAAGTCTAAACCGAGGTGAAAATCCGTTTAGGAACTATACGTGCTTTAACTGAGGTAGAACAGCCCACATGGCGTCACGGTATAACTTATACCGTGTAAGGCGCCTAAAAAATAAATCATTTGGCAAAGGCCAACGGAAAGCACTGGAGAAGGTCAGAACAAGCAGGTCAAGTCAAATCAGTATAAGGAATAGTCGAATCAACCTTCTAGGATAGCATTTTGCACACATGTCAGCGCATCTGAAATGACCTACAATGAAACTCTGTCTACATGGTGTGTTGACACTCTGGCGGCCCACCGCATATGCGGTCAATGAGAGTTCTTCGTCATTTTCTCTTTCTGTGGAGATAAATTGTTATTTAGAGGACTTCATGATAGTTGTTAGCATAGGGACAGTCAGACAAGACTGTATTCAGTGTACAAAGCATGCTTTTTACTGTACTCACATGACGTTTAGCTCTGCGTAAAATTAGTTGAATTCCCTCCCACTCTCCTCGTCACCATTCAGCAGAAGACCATCGCATCCTCTGGTAATGCAGACGAGTAGCTGACATGATGAGTATCAATTATTGCAAATATCTACATCGCTTGGCTCATGCCAACTCCATATTTCACAATGCTACGTCGACCTTGGGGCTCAGTACTCACTTGCTATAAGTTGAATGGAGGATTCTTCAGCAGCGATTTAACTTTAACGTGTACTTAGAGTTGGTTTCCGAGGATTTTACTCTTGCAATGATGTAATCAGCTATTGGCGCGAC